TGAGAAGTACAGTCAACTGGTACTTCACGATTCAGGTGTAGACGACCCCAACAGAATTCTGGTTTTAGGTGATAGAGAACTATTATTTGAATTGAATAAAATACAATTTATGGAGATGGCACCTTTGATAAAGTTCTGAACATGTTTTATCAACTATATACGTGGCATGCCAAGGTGGGTAACACTTATCCGCCATGTATTTACGTTTTGTTGCAGAAAAAGAACTTAGAAACATATAATAGAATGTTTGAAATCATGAAGCTGTTGGTTCCAAATCTGGTGCCTCAAAAGGTTTTAGTAGATTTTGAGAAAGCTTGCATGAATGCAGTGAGAATTGCCTTTCCACAAGCTGAGGTCAAAGGGTGCTATTTCCATCTGTGTCAGTCTCTCATCAGGAAAATCAGCAATGTTGGCTTGAAGACTGAATTTGAAAGTGATATAAATATAAAACTCATGCTGAAGTCTCTTGCTGCATTAACCTTTGTCCCAATCCATGATGTGAGGAGTGTCTTTGATGAGCTTGCCGCCACATTTCCAGACGAAGATAATTATAATGAGGTGCTCACGTACTTCTTCTCCACATACATTGAGGGTGCAGCAGGTAGAGATCCCCAGTTTCCAATAAGAATATGGAATCATCATGATGCAGCTCTTGAACGGTCACCTAAAACTACAAACTGCTGTGAGGGATTTCACAATGCCCTTAATTCCCTATTTCACTGCAGTGATCCCAGCATGTGGTTTTTGTTTGAAGGACTTGCCACTTGCCACAGATTGACACTGGCTAATGCACAGGCAGGTCGTCTAGAGGTGAAAAAGAGAAGGTATGATGAACTGCATGACATGGTTGCAAATTCTGTGCAGGAATATGAGAGGGTGGAAGACAAACTCAAATACTTGCGGAGATTGGCTAACTTACAGTAACCTAAAAGTGTTGACTGTTCACTTTGTAGTACAAACAAAAAATAATTAATTTTTATAAATAAATTAAACCGATTTAGTTGCAATAAAACCAGAGCATTTTATTTCCTTTACTTTCCCTTACAAACATTTACATCAATATTTTATTTAGGATTTGAGACTTCTCGGCGAGTACAATCAATAAAATATTCTCGGTCAACAGCCGCGTTAACTGGTTCACGTAGTAAATAGACGTTTCGGGAATGAATTCAATAAAATCACCTGCAATCAACCGTGTTAACCGCTTTACTACGGTAACCAGTTAACGCGGCTGTTTGACCGAGAAAATTTTATTGAATATCTTCCCGAAACGTCGGTTTACTACCTTAACCAGTTAACCTTTAAACGACGGGGATTTAAATGGCAAAGTGGTAGTTTTTGGCAGGTTTTTAAACATTTGTGAACGCTCTACGGAAAACTGTAATGTTATCTAAAGTAAACATGATAAATTGACGAAATAAAAGTAATATTTATTCGAATAGAACAGAGAATACATAGAGTTTTTTTAAAAAATGCAGTTAATATCTTAATTGCCTAAATAGGCCTTAGTAACTTTCCTTTCTTCTTTGGAAGCTGATTCGACATAGTCGTGAACTAATGACCACACAGAAAAATTTATCTCCCCTACTTCAGTGGATGCACAAAATATTTCTCACCCATCATGCCGAGGATATGTGAGAAGCTTTGATTAGGGGCCTGAAAATGAATCCGAAACCCACTTGACAATAACAATGTTTATTGCTGTTTATGGTTATAGTTTACGGGTTGACAGCTCAGGCTGACCTTGCCAAAACGCTAGAGAAAGTGTTTCATTATTTGCAGCCCCTAAAATGGGCCAAAAGACGTAGCCAAGTCTTCTTACAATGTTGCAAGTTTTGAGATCCGCACCGGGAATGTTCGTAGTGCTGACTACACAATTTACTTCCCAGACAAGGACTGCTAGTAAGATAAAGGTTAACGCGGTTGTTGACCGAGAATAATTTATTGAATTTGTTCCCGAAACGTCGGTTTACTACGGTAACCAGTTAACGCAGCTGATTGTTATCGTAGTAAACCGACGTTTCAAGAACAAACTCTGTCCCCATCTTCAGGGTTTGTTCCCGAAACGTCTATTTACTACGGGAACCAGTTAACGTTTCTGATTCTTTGTCTTAAACAGTTAGGTAGATGCATGAAATGGAAGTATCCATC